ATGGTGCCAACTTGGGCCAGTGAAGCAACGTCCTCCACAACTAGACTGAAGAACAAAAGGACAGCAACTTGTCTGTTCCCCTTCTCCCAATTCCCCAATAAAAACCTATAAAAAAAAATATATAAAAAAAAAAAGCGGTGTGTAGCGCTGCCCCTGCAGCTCAGCCTCCCTCCTGGTGCTGCCCCAGCTCCTGCAGAGCCCGAGGGTGGGAGGGCGGCTCTGGGTGGGCTCACCTGGAGGACGTGAAGAGGGACCCGTTGACGGAGCCGAAACAGGACAGGCCCACGAAGACGGGGATGATCCAGGACATGACGCCCAGGTGATAATTCCCGAAGTCCTAGACAGAAGCCGAGCTTGAGTCCCTGTGCCCCACGACACCCAACATGCAGCCCCAACTTCTCCACCTGGACCGTGAGCTGTCCTCACGGCCCAGCCCTGGCTCACGTGTCTGCATCGCCTCCTCACAAGGCTTCTGCACGTGAGTGACCCCTCGGGGTCTGGATTTGGGGGAGGCTGTTCAGGGACAGAGCCGTCTTTAGAACAGCGCCCGTGCCTCACTCCCCATCCCCACACGCTGGCATTACACCAGGAGGACCAAGTGCCTGGTCTTTCTCCCCTCGCACATGTCTGTCCTGCGAGGGAACGCTGCTCTGTCTCTGGCTGGGTCCCCAGTGCCTGCCCCACAGTAGGGCTCAGTGAGTCTTTACTCAGAAAGGAGAAGGGGTGGGTGCCGACCCTCACCTGCTGAAGTTGCTGGTGAGGACACTGCGGGAAGTGAGCCTATGGGATCCCCACAGGGCATTCAAAAGCCTGCTGGTTCTGCGTGGGGCCCCACTCTGCTTGGCTTGGGAAGCTGCAAAGGCACTCAGCCTGCTGCCACTGTGGGGCCTGGGGACACTGCTCTCCCTCTTCTGAACCCCGTGTGCAGAATGCTCAGCAGAGGTGGCTCAGGATGTATTCAGGCAGCAGATAGGAGACAGCTGCCCAGCCCGACATCAATGCACTCTGGGCTGCAGACCTCATTCTCCGGGATTGGGCCTTCCGCGTCACCGTAATGGACTCATGCCCTCTGTACTCAGCATTAAAAATGACTGACGCCGAGACCACCACAGACATGCTGATTTAAAGCTGTCTCAGGGTGTGGCCTGAGAATCAGCCCTTTTAAAGCCCGCTGTGATTCTCATGCAGAGCGAGGGTTGAGAACCAGCACCCGCACTTTCCGACAGGCTTGGCAGAGCACAGCTCAACCCCTCTGAGCAAGAGCGCGGTTTGCAGACGAGGGGCCTGGTCTGCTCCATGACATGGGCTCAGAGGTGGCGGGGCCGGCCTCAGCCTCTCAGTGACCTGGGTGGATGCTGGCAGGTAGTGTCTTACCACGGCCACGGCCTCCGATGTCAGCATCTGCTCTGGGGACAATGTGGTGAAGTAGGCCAGGTTCGTCAACACATACACCAGGGTGACGATGGGGAGGGAGATGATGATGGCCAGGGGCAGGTTTCTAGGAGAAATGAGAGGCCACGTCATCAAAGTACGGTCCCGGACAGAACCAGTCCTGATGGCTTTCCAACACAGGAGGCCTGGTCCTGAATCCCATTGTGTTGTGGGGAAGGTGGTGAGTGGCAAAACTGTCACTAGCATCGGTCACCAGCTGGAAGCTGGCACCTGGGGCTCGGTAGCTGTGTGAACCTGGCTAGTGACTCGACCCGCCGGCCTCCGCTCCCAATCTGTGAAATGGGTGCTCTCGCTCATTCTGAGCGGGAGTCTTGTTCAAGGTCACACAGCTACCATGCAGCTGACTGGAGGCCACAAATCAGCACCCCTCCACCCCAGCGTGTTCCTAACCTCAAGGCCCCTCCTGAAAGGCCCTGCACTGCTTCCATCTGAGGCTGGGCTCTTAGGCAAAACCAGGCTTGTTCCTTCGTCCATATTAAAATAATAAAAAGAAGTATCTCTGTGCACACACGTACCTGTAAGGATTGATCATCTCCTCTGTGACAAAATTCAAGTAATTCCTAGAATTTAGAGAGCAGAGTTTAATTATACATTCCTCCCAAAGTCATTAGGGGAAAAAAGAACACAGATTCTACGGCGGAGCCCCTGCTGGCTGCTTTGGGCCCATGGAGAGGAGACACCCCACCCACCACTGGACCCCCTCTAGTGTGCAGTTAGAGGGAAGGGCACAGTCCTATTCCCTCGGGAAAACGATGCCAAAAGGCCTAGTCCCCTCAATAAGCCCTAGCCTCTCCCTCATCTGCCTTTTAACATTCCCCACCCACCCACCCACCATGTGTCAGCCATTCTCCTGGCCTAGTATAGTCTGGTCTCAGAGAGGCGTCACAGTGGGGGACCCACGGGGACAGGAAGTACAGGGGGACTGCAGGCAAGCATTCTGCTCCTGGTGGAGAAAGGCTGGGAAGCACTAGGCTCAGCCTTTTGAGCCCAAATGCTTCATGCCCATCAGCAAAGGTCTATCTACAGGGTCGCCTTCTCAGGGGCCAAGACACAACAGAGAAAAAGCACTGAGGGCTCCTGGGGCATCCTTTCTGTGCTTTTTTTTCTTTTTTTTGGATGCGTGGGGCTCGGAGCAGCCTTGAGAGGGTTGGTTTCTTGCCACTCTCTAAAACTGCCCATGGGTGGCCGAGAGATTCAAGTTTCTGGCCACCTTAGGGCCTGGCCTGTGTGTCCCAAGGCCCAGGGTCCCAGACATGCTGGACCTTACCAACCCCCGTAGGCAAAGAGACCGCTGTACAACGCCAACACAATGTTCCCCACGTCCAGCTTGGTGCCTTCGAACGAGTACTTGGGATCCAGATTGGTCACATCACCTGGCAAAGGCCAAACAGACAGAAAGGAATGTTGGGTTAGAGAGCCCTGCACAGAGGTCACACCACATGTTCTGGAATGTTCCTGGAGCAAAATTCAGTAACGCGCAAAAATGCTGGGGTGAAGGCTTTCCACTGTGACAAATTAAATGCACCTGCTAAGCCACCGACACTTACATTCCCCAGACTTAACCTGGGGCTGGGAGCGCAGGCAAGGTGAGCATGATAGTGCCGTGACCTGGAGGAATGTGGCCTCTAAGGGGCTCCTGGTCCACCTGAGAGGGGACAGCAGCTCTGCGGACCCTTGGCCATTCTGAGTGTCAGCCGCATGCGAGACCCTGCGATGTGAGCCTCAGGTCAGGGGGACCTGGGTTTGAGCTTCACTCTAGCCCTCAGTGCCTGGAGAACTGAGAGCCGCTAAGCCTATCCGAGGCCACTTGCATGTGCGATGGGTCTCTGAATGCCATCTCCTCGCAGCTGCTGTGAGCACGAAATGGCCTGAAAATGACTTAGACCTGTCCCTGGAACACAGCAGCGCCTGAGAAACTGAGCTGAATGAGAGGACGGTATGAGCTGATGGAGCCGTGACTCTAGGAAACTCTTTTACTAGAGTTTTGGGGACGGTGCAATGTGAGTGCCTTCCGGGCAGGTGTCCCTGGGGGGTCGGGGGCACGTCAGCCTTGGTCCTTAATCTATATGGACAACGCACTGGGCTCTTGGACATAATGGGTGGGGGTGTGGACAGCTCAGTCTGCTTCTCTGCTGACCAGTTCCACCTGCAATGGGCAGGACCCAACATTCAGTGACATTGTAGTCTCTTTGTTTCGGAGCCTGTCGGCAGACAAGCCCATCTGATCTGTGTCACGGCTCAGCAAGGTCCACATGTGAGTGTCCTGGGGCTGCCCTAATGGATGACCACAGACTGGGGGCTCACACAAGAGGTTTCTTCTCTTCTAGTTCTGGAGGCCAAAAGTCTGAAATCAGAGGTGATAGGGGCACGCTCCCTCCGGAGGCTCTAGGGGAGGGACCATCCTGGTCCTTCCAGCTCCTGGGGGCTCCAGGCATCCTTGGCTTGTGGCTGCATCACTCCAGTCTCCACCTCCTTCCTCACATGGCCTCCCTGTGTCTCCTCTTCTGTCTCTTATAAGGATGCTCGTTGGATTTATGACCCGCCCTAATCCTTACTTTGATAATATCTGAGACCCTTTTTCCAAATAAGGGCACATTGTCAGGTTCAGCTGGACATGTGTTTTGGGGGCTACCATTCGGACCCGTGCAGTAGACACTGTGAAATGTCAGCATCTCAGAAAGGTCCCTGGCTACTAGGATAGTTCCTGGCCCTTTTTTAGGCTGTTACGTCACCTGTAAAATGGTCCAGAAACACCCAGGCCTTGAAAAACTCATGTTAGGAGGAGGGGCCAGCCCACCAGCCAGTGCCAACAGACATAGGCCAAGGGCTAGGTTGGCTGCCTCTCTGCTCTCCACTGATGAGGGTCACCTGGCCCTGGGTTTTTAGTTCCTGGCTCCCCTGGTTCCCCGGGGGTGGATGTGGCACAGACATGCACCTCACAGGTGGTTGCTTTCAGGACAAAGGACTCAAACAAGAACAAAGGCAATGGGAGGAAATGGGGACTCCTGGTCACCTCCTGCCCGCCTGACAGCTGGAGGGGAGAGTTGAGCTATTGGTCAAGTGTGAACTGTTTGTTTGGGGATCATTTCTAAATGAATCCTGTGGCTCTGGATGCAAGGGTCTGTGCCCCCATCCTGCTGAAAAGCTGCTGCTGAGGTCCTACTGTGGCCCCAGGGCTGCTACACGCGTCAATGTCATCCATGGCCAGTGGGTTAGCAGGCTCTAGGGAGACAGGGACAGAGGACCCCATGGGAGCCCAAGGTCCCCAAGGGAGTCCATGCCTTCCAAGAGGGTGACAGCCTCAGTTACCCTGGGAACAGGACAGGGTGACGGTATGTGAGGAGGTTTGCAAAGAAACATTAAACCTATCATTTTACCTAATCGAAGCCTGCACTTCAAAGGCAGCACCGGGTTTCCTGTGGTCCCACAGTGAGGGAGGGAGGCCCCAGCCCCCGTTTGGGGGTCTGTCTTATCCTGGACCCTGGATTCTGTCAGGGAGCTTTTTTATCCTAACCCTGCAGGAGTGCTCGGGCCTTTGATCGCCTGCCTGAGCTGGGGAATGGACACGGAAGCCACGAGCCACCCCCACCCCGCCCATGAGGCCATGGTCTTGTGACCAGAACAGGCTCCAGGGTAGTTGGCACCTCATCCCACGCGTCCCCTGCACATGATGTCTCGGAGGCCCAGTCCAAGGACTGCCTGGTCATAGGGTGGTCAGCAGGGTGGGGTGGGGGCAGTGCTGAAAGCCGGCTCAGGACAGTGCACTCTTCAACAGCACCTCAGAAGAGCACTCAGAGACCATCTGCGTTCCCTCCCAGCTGCCCCTGTGGAATGTTCTAGAATGTACATTCCTTTACATCAGCTGAGTCCTGCCTGACTCAGGGCCTTACCCACATACTTCTGCTGTGGGTAGGGTAGAGAAGCAGCTGTCCTACAGTCAGAGAAACTGGGAGTCAAGACACCTGCCCAGGGGTGTGGGGACTTGCTGGCATGCAGCTGGTCTAGGGTTGTGAGGGTAGCCCTATGAATGCCTCTGATGGGTCTCACCTCTGGGTACTGTATGCATGAGCACGAGGCCATGCCACCCCAGGATGCCACAGGGGCTCCTAGAGTCTGGAAGAGTTGCCCAGGGCTGCTCCTGCTAGCCCAGATCTCCAAAAGGTCACATATCCACTCTCCCCTGCCTCAGGATGCTGCCAGATCAGGCTCTTACAATTACTCCTGGAACTTTAAAAGGCCTTTCATGATAAAGGTTCCTTACAAGTAATGCAGACTTGTCTTGAATTTGTCATTTTCACATTAATCTGCCCACATTTTCCTATTAGGATATACTTTTATATCTCCTGTGTATTATTCAGATTGGATTTCATTTCCCATATGCTGGGAAACGGACTTTGGTGCAGTTGTGAAAACTGGCTCCCACCTCAAGCAGGATCCTGAATTAGTGACATGGTGTGTGTGCAAGCATGCACGCACGCACGTAGGTTAGAGACACTGCTAAGCAGGGGGATGATTACTGCTCTTGCTGAGCATAAAATTCAAGGCTTGAACTATATAGCCTGGGACTGTGGGGTAAGAGCCTGAGGTTTTTCAGGTCTGAGGCCTGGGTGGCTTCAAGGCTTTCATCAAGAAATCACCAGCTAAGAGTTCTGACATGTAAATGCAAATCACCACCTGAGCCAGTCATGCTGGAGACACAATTCCTGCCATTGAATGGTATTTCCTAGGATTTACAGCGTGATTTTGCAGCCTCTGAAACCCCAGGTAAATACTAGCTGCTCTGACCAACATAGGTGGAAGCATCTCACTGAGCTGTTCCTGGGAACTTGGCCAGGCCCCCCCCCCTCCTAACCAGCTCATGGGGCTTCTATTCCTAGGACAGGTGTGACCGAGCCCTCCTGCCGGGACCTCCCTGAGTTGTCCAGGGTCTTAGTCCCCAAGTGCCTTGGAGGAAAGCAGACGTCCAAGAGCACAGAGGGACAGCAACCCCTTAGACCCTGCAACCCTGAGCACAGCTGGTAGACCTCCCACCTCTCTCCTGGCACAGGGTGGGGTGAGGTGGGGTGGCGGAACGCAGTAGGGGAGGGCAGGCAAAGCTCAGTCTAGGTAGGATTCAGCCGCTTTGGGACCCAGTCAAACCACTGCAGGTTCCCCTGAGCTGTCCCCCTGCCCTGTCACCTCACTGTTTCCAGTCTCTCACAAGCACAGTGTGGCCCACTGAGGACCAGGACAGAGAAAGCGACCTGAGAGTAAAATGCTTGAGAGCAGCCGGCACACACGTCTGCCCACGGCAGAGCTCTTGGGTTTGCTCGGCCTGACTGTGCTGGATGCTGGCCCCGTTTGGAGACCCACAGCTCTTCTGGGCACCTGACCAAATGCTGGCTGAGTGCGCTACCCCCTCTAGATGGGCGCCATAGAGCAGACTCCAGGTCCGCTGTCTGCACAGCGCATGGCCCCGCCCCCACAGGGCTGGCATAGCCTGAAGGAGCTCCGGGGGACTGCTCAGGGGCGGTGGCTCTGCTTGCGCTTGTCTCCTGCCGTGGATGGAGCCCTTACAGCAGGGGGGCGATAGGAGGGGTGGAGAGCTGGTGGCAAGGCCGCCTGCCCATTTCCAGGGCAACAGAAAGCAAGCAAGGAAGCCACAGCTCCATTTATTGTGTATCAGCCACTGCTCCACACCCAGAGGCCACCATGGAGGTGAGACAGGAGACAGGGTACTTTCCCAGGAGGAGGGCAGACTCTGACTCCACACAGGATTCTCAACCACCTACCAACCCCAGCAACCAGGGCACATACAGCGACGTCTGGGGATATAGGTGTTGTCACACTGCAGTGGGGTCCTCTAGTGGAACACCAGGTGTGCCACTCGACATCCTGCAGATTGAGACCCGGCTCTAGAGAGCAGATGGCAGATCCCCTAACTGTTCCCGGTCCTCTCTCCCACGGAGTCCAAACTGGGGCACCATTCTTGTTGCAACATACAGTTTCAGGCACAGGCCGACACAGACGAACGACTTTACAGTTCCCCACACGAGCTCTAGCCTCATGGGGTCCCCATCCACCAGGAAGGCAGGTAAGAAAGTGACCATGACTGAACAAGAGCAGTAGGACCTCCCACAGGGACCAGGGGCGAGAGTGTGAGAACCCCAGGATCCCACAGTATGATGCTGATGGCTACTGTCACACTGTGGGGTTCCCTGTGCTACCACTCCTTCTCTAGGGCTTTTCTGCAACCTCAAAGCCAGCTCTAACTTGCATTCCACCTAGGTGCGGCCTCGGGCGAGCCCCACCCCAAAGCCCCTGCACCTTCAGTCTGACTTCCTTGGCCTAAAATGCAGCCACTAGCAGTACCTCCTGGGAGGGTTGTCAGGAA